ATCTGCGAATAGGCAAGGGCATCTGAAAACCACTGGTTAGTACAGTTTACTCACATTTCAGCTGAAAGGTGGCGCACAGCTGCCACCCTGTTAACGCGCATAACAAACTCGTGACCTGCCTGTGTGCTCACTCAGCTACATACACATACAAATCCAACTGATGATAAATACATGGAGTATCTGTAAACACATAGACTATTGGCCTGCTAACACCATCATTGACTCATATTGTTGTTTTTGGAAATAATTATTCTCTGTAAACATTTCTTCATGTTTGTCCATTCAAGCTAGCCAATTACTTTTTACAGCAAGTAAACAATGTACTGTATATCTGGTATGTTTGGTTGGATTCTATTTGTAGTGGGGGGTGGGGAATCAAGTTTAAAGGTGAGTTTATGTTTGGATCATGGCACGCTAAGCTGTGTGAGCTGTAATACATTAGAGGCTCCTTTTCAGTACTGTTCACTGCTGAATTAATCTTCGTATCGTATTGTGGCTCAGCTGTTTGGTAAACTTCCTGTTTTCCTGTTCCTGAAGAGACAGAAATAGCAGGAACAGAGAGAGAATTTGATTACATTTATGATTTATGAATTCATATTTAATAAAAGATTAATCGTGTATTAAGTGGCAGGAAAACTGAGAGCAATTACAAAAAAGGTGGAAGAGGGAAGAAGCTATACAGTCCAGAGATGAGCATACACAGTTATATTACAGTTGAGGGAGAAACTGGAGGATTTATTCACAAAGCTCCTTAGAATAGGAGTCTGGTTTAAGATCACGGGTCAGCTAGCCATGAAACCTTCACTTTCAGTTAGGACTGTGGAAGAGAAGAGAAGAGAGAAGAGACCAGAATTACAGCAAGGGGGCAGAGAGAGGGAGAGAGAGAAACACAATGAAGTAATATATGGCTCATGACAGGAAGCAGGGAGACAGAGGGTGAAAAGAGAAAAAGTATAACTTGAGAAGAAAGGAGCAAGCGGGCAAAAGTACACCTTGCTGCAGCTTTTCATCCTCAAGGTTTAAATTGATGCTTGATCGTGAATAGTTTCTCTTGTTTTAGCTAAACATGGCATTATTATCCACTAAGTCGCACAATAAAGACAAAAACCAACAATGAATTCATCCTTACGTAGCCAAAGCCTGACATATAGTAGCTCACAGAATATCCTTTAAAGCTCCATTGTTGTCCAAAAACTATAAAAAGCACATCAATGAGCTGCACTGCGTGACATGTTCCTCCATTACAATAAATATGGCCACTGTACCATCCTGCTGCTGTAAACACTCACTAGGACACAAAGTGTGTGTTTTAATCCACCGCTGGAAAATTGTTCCCAACAAAAGCACTGCATACTCTTGTTTGAGTAACTAAAGACTACAGTGCTCAGCTGTTTTAAAAATCTACTGAGCCTTTGTTTAAAAATGTAATTATATAAATGTGTAAATCGTTTTTAAAGATTTACATCAAAGGGCTTAGGGCTGAAACTGACAGATGGGTCGGGAAGTATTGAAAGAGAGACAGCAGCAGTGTTGGTTTTGGTCTTTTAAAGGGGTTTGTTGACTTTAAGCAAAATATTTAAATAACACCATACCTTTGAATTTTATTTTTCACACTTCGTGCAATGCGTGAGACAAATATCTAAATTGTTGTAAACAGCAGATCCACTGAGACCTTACAGGACCTCCAAACCTGAAACAACTTTGCATTAACATTTGCAATTATTTCCATCCCTCATGTGAATATCTAGCAGTATTACTGTAAGTTAAAGGCTGCTGAAATTTCAGTTTTATAATGAATACCAATTAAATAAATAATAAATCAATTTGACTTTCTAAATATCTGTTCATGGATGTCTGAGAACCGCTATAGTCCTTAATGTGAAGCAGAATATTCTCAGTTCTTTCTTAAAACATCTCCAGGCATGCATTTTCACAAAATTGTAGGAACATTATGCCTTTAAGAAACATAGAATATAGATGATGTGATGCATAAAACAGAAAGAGAGCAAGGCCATGTACAACCCTGTAGGATGAGCCTTCCTCGTAGAGACCTTGGCAAAGTAGAAAATGTATTCAATTCTTCTTTGGATCTTTCTTTTAGTGCAGTACAAGATAGACAAAATATTAAACTATGACTATGCAAAAATGTCATAATACAATTACAGAATGATTCCAAAAGATTTTGCAAAAGGAGAAAAAAAGATGAAATGAAAGAAATATAACAGAACAATAACTGTAAAACTTAAGTTTACCTTATTAGTTGTATTACTACTACTAGTAGTACTACTATATATGTATGTGTGTATATAATATATATATATATATATATATATATATATATATATATATATATATATTTATATATCAGTATAGTATAGTATATAGTACATTTCAAATTTAGCTGCGTACAACTCCATTATAAATGGTAAATGGGCGGACTTAAAGTAAAGTGTAAAAATTATTATGTAAATTATAAATCTCCAGATTTGGAGATATTTGTTTTTATTATACAACAGTAAGTACATTCATGCCCTAAGTGTGAGTGTGTGTGTGTAGCAGTGTGTCTAAACAAATTCATATCAGTCATATTTAAAACATTATTCTGTGTCAGTGGAAGAGTTTATTCATTCAATAATACATGTACAGTAAATGCATATAGAAGCTGTGCCTGTCTTTTCCCAGCACTTCTAATACCTCAAGATGCATATGTTGGCAATGTTTTAATGTTTTACAGGAACAAATTATAATTTAAATGGTGTCTCCTATCAACTGCCTTGTCAGCCCTTATTACACAACCATAGGTATTACACACTTTGATGTCACCAGGAATTAAAATAGCTATCACACATCCTGATTATAGTAATATTTTAGGTTGTCACTATAAACAAATAGAATTTAATATCCGAGTGAGGGACGAGGGGGAGGGTGTTTTGTCTGTGATCTTCATTATGATTTTAATGAGAATATTAACCCTGTCTGTAATAAGCAGCTGATTGTAATGAGGACCTGGGCTCCACATACACGTCCTCTCTCCTTTCTCACATACCATCACCACACTCAAATGATATTATGGAGTTTTCCTGTTTATACTGATTTTTGTGTATACGTGCTTCATTAGACTTCCTTCCTGCATCTGTCTCCATGGCAAATATGTCAGACCACATTAGGATTCATGTGAATGTGAAGTTTGATATGAAAGAAACACATTAGTGAAGATAATTGGTATCAATTTGAAAAGTGTTTTTTCACTCTCATTTCCTTTATGTATTTTCTTTCTGGCTGCTTTCATCTCTCCATTTCTCAAAGACATAGTGCCATCTAGTGTGCATTGCAGCTGGTTGCATGCCAGGGCTGCTTGTTGCAGTCGTATTATTTATTTATGGGCAATGCGCAATGAATTGAGAGGCAGACTTTTCCCAAAGGCATATTTATTATTGTGTGAAAAGGCTCAATGTTTCCTCTTCGTTTTAAACTTTTCTCCTGTAAATAGGGGGGTTTATATAACTGCTAAGACTGTGTGTTTGTTGTGGTTTGTTGAAATAGGAAATGTTTGGTCACTCTAATATATATATATAATATATATATATATATAATAGATATGTGGCTGAGTACAGCTTTATGTGTCAATACTGCACAGCAGAGAATATTATTAAAAGTAATAATCATTAAGACATTGCCAGTCACCTCAGCCCTTTAAATAACCTGGAAGAAATTAACCGTTTATCTATTTTCAGCTACATGAAACATGGCAGTGCCATGTTTAGCAGAGGTGCTAATTTAAATATTTGCATTACTAAAACATTAATATGTCATTCCTAGTTAAATTCACACTTTTTACCAACCTGGTTTTGCCAGCTGATCCTGTGAGAAAATGTGAGTTTCTCACTTGTTAAACTAAACTTAATGTGTGAGGTTTAGTCAAACATTGCCAGTCAATCTCTTGCATTGAGTGCAGCCTTGACCCTCTGGGCAGTATCACAGCTGCTGAAGTGCTTTGGCATCAGTGTGACAGGATTAACACATCAAAAGCAGAGTCGGGGCCTACAGCAGCGTCACACAGTCAGTACAGCACCTTTCATGTTCTGCTCAGGTTCACTACAATTTCACGTAAGCCAACAGCAAGTCAGACGGAAAAAGATAATGGGGCCAACCTGCTGCTATCAGGCTTTCCCTCAGCTTCAGTGAAATATGTCAAATTCTGTGTTTGATGAAAGATTGGAGTTCAACAGGCTCAAGTCAGGAAACGATATCTGACTGTGTCACATGGCCGGGATGCAAAGGAGCATTTAAGTCTGACATTCAAGCTGAAATTATTGCTGCAAGCCAGCATGGTCTTACTTTTCATGATGCAAACATTCGATAGTCAACACGGAAGGAAAATTAAACCCAAATCATTTTTTTGGGGAGTCAGGGAGTTAAGATGTCTCAGGGTCAAATACCAAGATTTATAATCCCTTTGATAAGATGTGGTAATAAGTGAAGGCGGGGCAGTTTTATAATGAGTTTGCAAATTAGATATATCAGAGAGTTTAAAAAAAGACTAAAGCTCAGTTAGGTCATAGACGCTTGATTCATACCTACCATTTTTTATATATATCAGACACTTCAAGGATATCTTTCATTGTCTGTATTTTCTCAGATGCTTTTATAAGAAGGGTAATTAGTAATATTGTTGTCTTTGGGCGCTACAGCATAAATATAGGTATGGGAGGGGTGTCATTGTCAACACTCGCTATCTTTTGTATTTGATAATGAAAATAAATAATGGGTTATTAAAATAGATTCCAAATTGGTACAAATGTACATCCAATTAATGTTCACATTTTTGCACTGATATTTCTTGTATTATGTGCTGTGTATATATATATATATTATACATGTATCATTTTCAGCTGTACAGTAACTCCAGGGCTGCAGCTGCTGTATTGGATCACTAACTTGATTTGTTTATGAAGGGGTTTTTTTTTCCTCCCATGTAACAACCCCTGTCTTTGCTTAAGGTGCTTGACATAAAAGAGAAACTGAAGCTGTCAAAGAAATTTTGGTCCAACCTGCCCGAGGCGATGTGCGTGGAGGACAGAGTGACCGCTGGAAATGCCAGTGATGACGAGTGCTGGAATGGACATACCAAGGGCAGGTAAGTGTGCCAGTGCCCAAGACAAATGCAATACAAAAGGTTACTAAGAAGTCCAAAGTCTATTCGACTCAATGGTAATCTGTCTAATCCCAGAATTAAGGACCAGATTAATTACTTTAACTGATTTAAACTCAGCCGTGCAAGAATTTTCGTACTTTAACTGTTATTTGTCAACTACACAAACAGGATGTGGTCTCCTAAATACTCCATAGTTGATCATTCTGGTTTGGATTCATCCTTTACTATATAGCATAATTTGCTTTGATGCTTTTTGCATTTTTGTCAGTGTTATTTTATAGAATTGTGTTTTCATTCTCCTTTAAAATGTGCAACCAGCATGGTGCATCCCTGTTAATCTGATTTTCAAGGAATATATCATCACCAACGCTCCAAATGCCCACAGCCATGCTGAGGTCACGGTTAATTGATTTGAGCTGCTTTTATTCATAACATCAACTTGTATGATCAAAAGATGTTGAGAATTCACATTATAAATTCTTTGAATAACCCTTAAAGCTAATAATTTACCCTGTGTGGCAGCTGCTGCTATTTTCTGCGACCAGGAAGAAAAGAATATCGTCAGTGAAATTAGTCAAATGTTACGACAGACAGAGCAGAGACTTCTGAGGTGTATGTTATCCAGAGTGACCTGGGTTTTGGGGAAACAAATGCTGTTGTGTGAGACAACATGTGGAAGGGCCTCACATGATGGCCTGCTGCGTATTCCTATCAAGCAGGAATACAGGCAGCTGTTGTTTTTCCCTGGAGAAGTATTTCACATCTATGTCAAAATTACCCAACGTGATTAGGTCAAATGTTGATTATGTCAACACTGTTATGGCCTCAAAGAGCTATCCTTATTTGCTGTATGAGAATTAGAGCCAAAGTTTAGGCTTTCTCTGGTCTTTCTTATTGACAAAGGACTTCTGATGATGAGATTTCTTTGCATGTACGAGAGTTCAGAATCTATAATAAGTTGGTTCACTGTCAAAAATATTATTTTTTATTCACTAATGAGCACTTGTCCTTTTAACAAGCACCTTGTCATAATTAATTCACAAGGGTTATTTGGTTTGTTGTATTTTCAACCTAAAAGGTACTTCCCTGAAGTTCAAAAGGATGGACTGACCAACCAGGTGAATAACCCTGAAGTGGGTGTTGACATCACCCGCCCAGACACCTTCATCCGCCAGCAGATCATGGCTCTCAGGGTGATGACCACCAAGTTGAAAAATGCCTACAATGGCAATGATCTCTCCTTTCAAGATTCAAGTAAGCAGTTTGACGCTTTCCCCTCGCACACACATGTGGCAACATGCGGCTTAAGGCAGGAAATGTATTTTTAGACTTGCCCACCCTGCCCCGGTTGGTCAAGTTCAACTTGTCACTCATCCTGATAAGCTGTCCAGTTTGAAATACTACTTAACCTTCAGGCAGGGGTAATCAGCATCAGTAAAGCCACATGAGGCCATGAAAGAGCAAATAACTAACACAGACAGCGTGAAATAAAAAAGAAAAAAAACGCCACCAGCTGCAGGGCCTCTCTCAATTCTCTAATTTGTGCGCCCTCAACTCATCTCTTCTTTGTGTCTCTCCTCACCTCCTCTGCTTGCATCTCTGGTGGGAGGGACTAAGATGTAAGGAGAGGAGGCAAGAGAGGAATGGATGTACAAATTGGGAAATGAGAAAAGGCCTATAGTCTTCATCAAGGTAAGTGAAACGCTGATGAAGACAGTTATGGAACAATTTGGAGGCAGCACATTGGGTGTGCCATATTCTCCCTTCATGTAGCCATCACAGAAAATTGGGAAAGAAGGATTTGGTTCAGCGTCACAAACAGACTCCATTAACCTCCATTAACTTATTTTTTTAGCCACTTGGGGGCAGCAGAAACACGCAGTAAACAAATCACTGACATAATGTATCACATTTGAAGTTGATAGGGTGAGTTTATAGCAAACAGTGGCTTATTTTCAAATCCAGCAGATACAGAAGACTATTAGCAATACTATGGAATGTGTCTCCACTTGATACATGTAAGTCCAGTATTTACTCTCTTTTTAGCTCTCTCTTTTGGGTCTCCACCAACTGTCTGGCTGAATGCTCCACCATCTAGTAGTATACTGTATGTCTATCTGAGCTGAGTTTTGTAAAACCAAAACAATAAGCTAAAAGACACTAAAGCACTCCATAGAGCTGAAAGGAACAGAAGACGAGGTGATAATTCTCTGTGTGTTCATCATATGAGCAACACTTACACGTAGCTATTTGATCCATTATTAATATAAACATTTTTTAATTATAGCTACAGCTCACAGCTGTAACTTTAATGTGTAAGCGTTGCATATTGGTGCTTTAAAGCAACAGTTTAGGATTCATTGTTGACTAATGTTTTCAGTGATGTGCTCAGCTTGACTTGTGTTTGTTATGGTGTTGCAGGCGATGAAGGCAGTGGCTCAGGCAGTGGCAGCGGGTGCACAGAGGTCTGCCCTACAGAAATGGACGGTGGTGCCACTGAAGCCCCAGTGGTGGAAGCCGACCGCAGTGGGCCTGTGGATAACTCTGCCTCGCTCCCTGCACCCTCTGTAGCCCTGCCAACCATGCTGGCCCTCTCAGCCCTGGCACTCCACCGACAATGGAGATAATGCTGGAGGAACTGGCTAAACATGGACAGCAGGGTTTTTTTTTTCCTTTTTTGCAGTTTTTGTATTCAGGCAGATTGGAGCTACAGTCAAGCAGACAGTATTCAGGCTGCCAGCCTCAAGGCTAGAAGAGTCTGCTCTGAAAAAGAGAGCAGTCATGCATCGTGATTTCCCACTTTCCCAAAGATCGTGCAGTGCCATCCTTAGACTTGATATTTTATGGCATCACTTCACCATCTAACACTGATGCCGACCCAACAAACTCTGCTTCAGAGATTTCTTGCACATATGGCAGGTATTAATGTAGGTCTCCATGTGGAAAAATATAACACGCACTTTGATTGTTTTGATTTTTTAATGCAAAAATCTGTTGGTGTGTTGAAAAACATTGAGAATGTGGTTATTTGATGCACCTAAAAGAGGCACGATAAGTTTAATATATGTTTAACACTATATTTTGAAACAAGTACAAAGCATATTGAACTAAATGATCTAAATTCAGGAACATGAGGTTTCTGCCTAAAATTTTAAGTGAATCCTTGTTCCACTGTCATTAAATCATGTGCCAATTATTGATTTTTGATTAATCAAAGTTGTTATAAATCCATACTGGTTTGAGATCAAATACAGGCACATGTTTCTTATGTTTCTCAATAATTTCAACCATTAAGTTTGGCAAGAGTGTAGGTTAAGTATATCATGGGTTGGTCCTGGATCTGCTCTGCTCTTAGTTATCCACTGAAACTGTTCAACAGCCACCTTGTGCTAAAACCAACATTTTGTTAAAAGGGATAAGACTGACATTTTTATGTACTCATTTGCCTTGCAACAAATGTATTATCTGCTAAATATTCTCATATCATGCTGGTTTCTCAGGCTTGGCTTCTGGAGTAGAAACCCTGGACAGAATTCATATGGAGTCACTATTGACACACAGAGAAGGTGCCACAAATATACAGTAATGCTATGCATTAACATAGTGATGCTGGTTCTGTAGTGTTGTGGGGTGCATGTCCTAGTGTGTAGTTAATTAATTCATGTCCGAGAGGGCTAAACAAATTGGAATCCTTGCTAATATATGATTGCTCAGTAGTGTGTTTCCATCTAACCACTTTATAGCATCAATGACCTGCATACAAATCCATACACAGCCAAATAGAGATACGCAAATCAACTATTTATAGAAGATATTTGAATGGTTCTGCTAACATGGAGCCTTATAAAGACAAAGGGACACACTAATGAAACTAATGTTCTGTTTATGTATAAACGGACATGCACATCTCAGTAGGAAGCACCCATTCAATACAGAATCACCATCACCAGTCTTGTGCTGCTGTACTCTTGCTGTAATTTACAGTATTTTGGGGGCTATAAAGTGTTTCCACAAATATTCAACATTTTTAGAAGCTCCAGCAGTTCTGGATTTGCATATACAGGAACAACGCGAAGGCATATGTGATTGAATAGCCAAAGCTTATCCTGTAACTGCTTTCACAGTTTGGATAAAATAGTTGTAAAATAGTCGTCAAAATGTGCATTGCATTTGAAAAAGCTACAAAACTGAAATACTGACAGGTAAAAAGTTTAAATGTTGCTATTTTTTAAATTTCATTACCATAGTTATGTAAAAGGTGAGAAAATTATTAAGAGAAGAAGTAGCAAACTGCACACAGTGGTTACTGGAAATGCAAAGAAAGGGTCCCTAAATTTATCTGTAAAGCTTGAATGGTTATGTCTGCAGCACAGACAGGCTTGAAGCCAACCACAGTCACCTGTGAAATGAGAATCTGTGGAGACTGGACAGGGCTGAATGCTTCAGTGAAGCTCCTCAGTAGAGCGTACTTACAGAGAATGTGAGAGGCCTGGCACTGCTGAGGGGGGCGGACAAAACCAGCCTGTATGTACGTCCACTGTTCTCTGAGAGCCGGTCAGCTCCATAACCACCAGGCCAGCTAAGCTTACATATCCAAGGAATTAACCAGTGTTATGCCCTTAGCAGTATATCAATGAATATTTGTTGAGCTTTTCATTATTACATTTACATCAGCGTTTACATACACATTGCAAGAACAAAAATATATAAAACATGTCAAATGTGTCAATTAAAAGGATTCTTTATTATGAACATTGATCTTACAGGATGCCCTTTTTATGTTTTGTAACATTTAACTTTTAATGGTAATATTTTTGCAATAAAATATTGAAAATGGATGTGTGGTCAGACAAATTATCTGAAAAATAGAATTAGCTGGAAACACTATAAAGTCAACATTTTTTACAATCAATGCATTGCTGTATGAAGTAAAATTTGAATCTAGGAGAGGTGAAGAACTAGTAGAGTGAATATGCCTTATTGTTTTTCAGTGCAATTAAGATGATTGCATTTGTGTTTTGTTACGGTTCTTGAGAATAAATATTTATTAAAACATTCCAATAGATTTGTATTTGTGGTGACTCTTAGAAATTATAAAATATGTATAATAATGAGTGGGGTCAAACAAAGGAGAATGTTACTAAACCAGTTAAAGTATATATTCATTTTGACTGGTCTCACTTGAAATGTTGTATTAAGTTACAATTAATATTTTCCAAAGGATACTATAGGATTCTCAATCATTCTTGTCTTCTATGACTTTAGATTTAAGTGAAAAGTAAAAGTCTAGTTAGCTTAGAGGATTAATATTTTTCTCTTGCTTCACAGTAGGGCCCCAGATTGGCTCTCTTAGGTATATATTAGTGCATTCAGAACAACAGGTGAAGCTACGCTTCCTCCGTGTACTTTCTATTTGTGAAGTCTGCTTTTATCAGAGGTTCAAAGCCTCTGTTTCTCCGCTGACGCAGGTAGAGCACAAAGATAAGGAGAACCACCAGGAGACCAATGAAGACTCCCCCCAGAGTGGATCCCAGCACAAACACAGCCGGACCTCCATCTGCGTCTGTAAAGATGAAGTAAAGGCAGAGATATTCATAAAAAACCTACGCACATTAATTACATACATTAGTAATTATGTTAAAATAAGATGTTTAAAATGTCTGCTCCGATATAACAAAGAGGGATTTGACGAGGCTGTGAATCAACATCAGTGACTCAATGTTATTCAGCGATTAAATTATACTAATTCGAAACTAACTCTCTTACTGTGCCAATTTCAAAACACTGAACTTGCCGACAATATAGGACTGTACCTCTAGCAAGCATATATTCTAAAAAAAAAAATAGACTTCATCAGTGCCAGACTCAACTTCAAAAACAAACGAACTAGTTCACTATTTTCCTATTATTAGTAAATTAAACTAAGGAGATATAACATGTTAATCAGTCAACTTTAGAGGTGCTAGTAGGTTGTTTATGTTACCTTTGGACAGACCCAGGCTAGCAGTTTCACAGCTGTTTCCAGTCTTCATGCTAAGCTAAGCTAACCGGCTGCTGGCTGTAGCCTCATATTTAATGTACAGATATGAGAGTGGATTTGATCTTCTCATCCAACTCTCAGCAAGAAACAGCAAATAAGAATATTTATCAAAATGTCAAACTAATTCTTTGAACAGAACACATTCTCTTTAACACTTGCTCACCATCCAGGGCAGCAGCATAGGAATATCCCAGCTGCTCAGATGCAACATATATCTCCTCGTTAGTGATCGGAGGGAAAAAGGGAACCATGTTGTAGTCTCTGTTGTGACCAATGGGGGCCATCTCATCTGGGTAGGTGGCGTTGGATGGAGAAAATCTTTTCATCCACTCGTCAAAAATGGCATCAGTGAAAGTGTGGAGCACCTGCAAGACAAACAACCAGAAACACAACGGTGATTTTAATGACAACAACAATGTTGTTTCAGAGTAAACCATGAAATCAGATTCTGACCAGAAAGATGGGGTCGTTGGCTGCCGCATGAGACAAAGAGCTGGTTCCATTGAGCATGGAGTGGACGAGGTTGTGGAGGTTATTGACTGATTCATCAAGTTCTCCATCTGGCTTTTCATACCCTTCAAGAGCATTTCTGTTTAAAAGCACAAAGTATGTTAAACAGTAATTTGGCAAACTGGCATGTAGACAATTGCTGTCAGAGTGAAATAACAGGTATACTTAAAATTATAATTGTACCTAAAACTGAAGGAGGAGTTGGTGAAGTATGGAGGGCTGTCAAAGTCTCTGATCCCAAGGCAGCTTCTGACGTCATTCATGGTGGGCAGAGACCTGTTACCTCTCTCCATTATCCCTCTCTGAATGGAGCCCTCATTAGTGCCGTTACAAAGAGTCACCAAGCGATTGTAGTCATCCAGACTGGAGGAGAAAACAATTTAAACATTGAAATGTTTTCTAGCATTCAAAACGCATATTAATTTGTCACACAGTGTTTATTTCATCACAATCCAACCAATAATTATTGAGTCTTTTTCCTTTGCATGAAAAGTTTGTGCTGACCTGTTACATACCACCCCCCATCTGGAGAATCTGGACTGGTTACTGATGAGGGATGGGTTGTCTGGGTTTCGGCCTCCCAGCAGGGAGTCGGTACACACATCACACTCACTCTGCCCTGTGGCAAAGTTCCAGTAAGGGATCCCAAAGTTCTCATTGCCAGTCAATCTCTGCAGGGAACAGACCGATTTTATTGATACTAGTTTACATTAGTATTACAAATGTTAATTTTGGGCTTTTGACATGCAATATACAAGTGCTGTTTGCTATGCTGTAACTGTGACTTCCTTAGTCTAGGATCTACAGTATATATCCTTTATTTCTCTTCCCTGACCCTGTCCTGTCTCTGTCTTCTATTTTTCTAAAACATTTTACCAATTCTCTGTGTGTTAAAAATTCATTCAAGAGTTATAAATATTATATTATAACTTTTTTGTTCTTGAAGGACAGAGTGTGACACTGAAAAACTCTTGAGTGTGATACAAATAAAATGTCTTTTAGGTAGGTTATCTGCTCCTTTGGACAGAGTGATTGACTCCAGCAATATGATATCAGAGTATCCGGTATTTGTTTGTGCCTTTAACAATGTATTCACCAAACTGTCAATGACTAATATACTGGATGGATAAATTGTGAAAAAAAAATAAGAAAGAATTGTTGAAGGATTTTCTGTAGCTGTGACCTAAATAACTTCCAGATACGGATTTACAAAAAAAATTTAATAAACAAAAAGCCCAAGTTTAAAGGTTTAAATTACTAAGAAAAAAGCTAATATTATATATAAGTTGATAACATAATTAAAAGCTGACACACTTACATATTCACAGCCGTCTGGTTTCATTATAAATTACTGATCCCATCCACAAGTACAGTTTTAATAACATATTTTCAGAACATTACACATACCTGTAGCTCTCTTTCCAAGCTGAGGAGGTGATACCTGTGCCAGGTAATGAATGCTGGTCCTTTGTGTGAGAAATCAATGGCTTTGAATGGACGACCGGGACCTACAGGGAGACAAAGGGTTTGATGAGCTCGTCATGTGATCGACAAGGCACTAATGTGTACATCACACACTATTGTATGTCAAATAAATATTAATATATGTACCAGTAAACAAATTACTTTTGATTTCTTTTGTAAAAATTAAGTCACAGTCTAAATCATATATTTTTATAATTTAGGGACTAACACTAGCCGATAAATAAATAAATCAATGTGGTAAATGTTTTCTGATGATGTTCAAGGAATGATTACTTCCATAATGTTGAACACAGTAAAAGAGAACACAACTAAGAATTTAAAAAAAATCTATTGAATCTATTAATTATAATGATTTAATAATTTAATAATTATGAATCTGATTATACCTCAAATGTATGTTGTTGAAGAAATTATAGATTATATTAACTCAGATTATTTTAAAACAGAACAATCTTAAAACATAGACCTTCGATGATGCTCCAATTAATATATTCTATATTATATTATATTCCTTATATTTTTTTGAACTAACCAGTTTTAATAGTTTTATATCAAGAAATGTGACCATGCTCATTTACCAAGAAGTGTGTCTCGGACAGAGTAATAATGTTGCCAGACAAAGAAGTCGTAGATTGAGATGTTGGCAATCTGGGGCTCAGTTCCATTCGGTCCCAGGAGCCCCAGCCAGTGCTGTGTAGCAATGACATAGTCTGGGTGGGTGGTGGTCTTCGCCAGTTCCAGAACATCAAGGAACTCCTGGAGCTCTTCAGGGGTCAGGGAGTGGATGTTCTTCCGTACCACAGGAGCTTTCCTCTGGTCACAGTTTGGTCCGGTCCAGCCAAATTTACACTGACCACAGTCATGCCCTGCAAAGTTACCTGCAGCACAGACAGCAAACTAAATGTCAGTGCTGTGCAATAAAATAACATAAATAAAACAAGGTAACATAGTATAACAGAATACTATCCCACATAAAAATAAATAAGTAAAGAAACAGATAGAAAATAAAATGATGCTATAGCTGAATGTACTTGTTCACCAAAGCAGTATCCTAATATAACATGACTCACCAGTACATCTGCAAGTCTGATTGAAGAATTTGGTCGGCCACCTTTCTCTGTCATCAACATTTCTCAGTCTGTACGGTCCTCCCCAGGGTTTGTTGTCAACTCGAATAGCCAAGCAGCTTCCTCTCCCCGACAGAGAGCCACACACATTGGCAGGATCTGAGCCCAGAGCAGGGCAGCACTGCTTGGACAGGATCCCCTCCACTGTGCAGCACACTCGGGGAAACTGAGCCTCTGCAAGCTCAGGCGAGAGGAATAAACAAAGAAGGGCAAGACCCAGTGCATTCATCATATTTCACCTGTTTGTTTCCTCCAGTCAGTGGTGACAAATCAGTTTGTACATCAACTTTCAGCAGTAATACGGTCAATTAGTTCCCCCAGAAGAGTGTGGAATCTCAGTCTGCTACGGTCCCCAGTTGTGTATCTTTAAATTAGATTCACTGATAGTTTTAACATCGGTGGAAACAACACTTAAAGCCAAATCATGTTGTGTTCCAGTTGGTTACATGCACATTAAGAAAGCCTCTGATTTCTGTTCTTGCTTTTGTAGAGAGGAGGAGGATTAAGCCAACAGTCTTGTGATGATCACCTGAGAGCAGAGCAGTGAGCTGGACTAAGATCTGAATGAATACCAAGGAACTGCCTGAAGGGACTATTAAGTGCTAAATAGCCACTTTGTACCAAAGTGATGATTTATTATATAGAGTTAATTAGAAAAAAACAGGCAAGTACATGAAACTTGCCTCAAGCAGAACTTACTGTACAGCCACATGTACAGTAAGTTTTGTAACATTTGGTCACATACAAAATGAATTATATATTTATGTGTGAACAAATACCATTTACAGGATAATTCTGATAACAAATTTGAAATAGAAGCAAATTAATTGGTTTGTTGAGTCATTCCCAGCTAAAATAATTGAGTGAAAAACAAAAAACAGTTTTGTGAGACAGCGCCAGCCAGGATTTGTTGTGTAAATCTTTATGGGGTCTAAGCACTTTAATCCAGCTCGAATATACAGTTTCCAGAGTTTTTTGGAGCTTGTTATTGTAGTGTGTGAATGGTCAGTTTTCTGTCTTACTGATCAAACGTTTCACTCCAAGTCTCAGCTGACTGCTTTCGCTGTGCATGTGAGCTGAGAAAAAAGCAAATGTAGGATCTGTAGGATTTTATATTTTAGTTTAAAAGAAGATGATGTTTTAATCCATATTGGTATATACAGTGGTCAAAATTAAAGTAAAGTAAAGTTTAAGGGCACTTTTCCATTTGATGCTACATAATAAAAATAAAAATACAATATAATATTCATGTATGTTTTCATTATTTTATAATCACCCTAATATAGAAACTGATGTTTTATCTATACTTTAGAATGAGATGTTTTTACGGGTCACCTTCCATGGAGTCCACCATATTGAATCGCCATGTTTCTACAGTAGCCCAGAACGGACAAACCAAACACTTGAGTTTTTTTTGCGAATGTCACAGCCACCTTAGTTTCATCTACACACTTCACAGTCTGTTCTCATTCCCAGGTCGTCAAATACAAGCGCAAGCGGGCTTCAGTTAATTGCAATCTTTTTTTTTTCCTTTATTGATAGTGACAGGTGAAGATAGACAGGAACAGGGGGCAGAGAGAGAGGGGGGATGACACGCAGCAAAGGTCAGATTCGAACACGGGCCACTGCAGCAACTCCGTACGTGGATCTCTAGCTCTGCCGACTGAGCTAACCGAGCGCTCGTTACTTGCAATCTTTAACTTCACCAATAGATGCCACTAAATCCTACACACTGGTCCTTTAAACCACTGGTTCCAACATTTTTGACTTGTGACCCAAAAGTAGTGCCTAGTCATGGCCCATGGTCAAGGATCAAAGATGTAAATGTATCCAATTCTTACAAAAAAACCAAAAAGAAATACCCAATTTATCATCCCACAACCCCTCAGATGTATCGTGTGATCCTTTGGAGGGGACCCAACTCCTAAGTTTGGAACCACTGGACAATGTTCCTAACTATATATAAGTTGGCACGATGCTACTTTTACAATCCAGTACAAATCTAACCATAACATAACCCTAATTCTTTGGCCATTTTTTTCATCCATTTTATCAAAGACATTTTCAGCATTTTTTTTTTTAGCATTAATGTTTGTGTTATGTGTTAACACAAAGACGCATTTATGCAGGCGTTTTCTTTTCTTCTTCTTTTTCCCCCACCCATTTACCACGAAGAACAATTCTGAGTATTCATAGATCAGTAGTGCCAGTTCTCAGTACTGGTGAGTAGTGACTTATTTCACTGTTTAATGGAATAAAAAAAACAAAAACAAGTCAAAAAGCTCAAAGTTTGGTTTCCTTGAAAGAGTGTGAACCACAAAAATGGCCAAAAGGCAGGTTATTGCTGATAATAGGGCACTCAAAAGAGGTCTTCAAATACAAAAGCACTATACAAATAAAGTCTTATTATTATTATTATTATTATTATTATTGTTGTTGTTATTATTATTATTATTATTATTATTATTATTATTATTAGAATGATGGATAATGCTGAAGATATATGACTGAATTTCATGTGACCAAGCTGAGATTTTCACATTTTGTTGTACAACATAAAATATGTCAGTAAATACCCAATTCTTCTTAAAAAAGTTAGTAACAAGTGGCTAAATGAGACTACATAGGTTGTTGGGGACATTAAATGTCATCATGACAAAAACTTAAAGCTCATATGACATTGGAGAAATCAATGATATTTTAAAGGACAAGTGTGTAGGATTTAGTGGCATCAAAAAGTGTAGTGGCAGATTGCAATTCCCTTGCGACACCCTCACCTTCCAAGCCCAAAGGAGAAACTACAGTGGCTGTGAAACTTGCAGGAAATACAATTGGCCATATGTAGAGCCAGTGTTTGGGGGCGGCTGTGGCTCAGAGGTAGAGGGGGTCGATCCCCCAGTATCCTTGATACTGAACCCCAAATTGCTCCCGATGTGTCATAAATTAGTTAGTTTCTGTTCAATGGGCTTCGCCATCACTGTGTGAATGTGTTTGAAAGGGCAACATGGCAGCCTTTGTGGAAGACACCCTGTTATGTCTTTAGATATAAAATGCTCATTCTAAGGTAACAAAAACACGTTTCTTATTTTCAAGTGATTATAGATTAATGAAAACATACCTACATACTTTATTGCTTAAAAACACAAAAAAAGGAAGAAACTCTTCTTTCTTTCTCATTACATTTGTATTTGTTTGTATAAGTTATCCCTCACTGCCCAGACATCCACACTACCACAAGGCTTTACTTATAACTTAAAGCCAGATAATCACCTGCTTTGTGCTTTCGTCAGAAGTCATTACAGATGGAGTCATGGGAGGATCATATCATATGGACATGATTTGTGTCTCACTGCCCTCTAGAATTTCTTTCAAACAGCCTTTGTTTCAGAAGCAGGGGTGCTACATTTCTTGAAGAAGCTTTATAATGACACAAACTCCTGTGACACTCCTGATGCATTTCAGTGGTCTGGCATGTGACTGCTGACAGTAAACACATGCGGATTTTAGAGTTAAGGGGAGTCTTTGTTCCACCATCACAAGAAAGTTACAGTTTTTCGCAAAGTTATGTACTTATTGTCATTATTATGAAAACTATAAACTGATGAGCGGTAAGCATTTAATGGCAGGATTAAGAGAAAATTATAAAATAATATTCCAATCCCATAATTTCTGGTCTTGATGAAGTACCCCAACCATATACAAGAAGTGAGTTTTCTTGCTTACATCTTATATAGTTGATTATTGTAAAAGTTTCTAGTCTCAATATTGGTGCCATTTCACATATTCAGTTGACCTTTGTTATAATACGAAATCCTGGGGTCAGAATCTAAACAGAAATATAAAAATATTGCATAAAATATTTATGCAGTATGCAGTATGCAGTCAATATAGTTTATACTATTCAGATGAATCAGATTCACTTTTTTGGGTCATTACATTACTGAAGAAGTTATTTTGAAGTTTAACATCAATGTCCAAGCCTGGAATGCCTTTTAAGTGGTAAAGTATCAGAGAAACATGAGTCAGACATAAACACAGACCCACAAGAAAACTCGTGTGTGACCACTGAGTCTTTTACACAACAGGTCCTGTGAGGTTCACTGCACTCAACAGGATTAGTGAGCAGAATTCCTGGAGCGAGTCAAATGGAATGTCTCTATAGAAATTATTTCACATTTATTTCAGTGAACAAGTCTGCGAGCGTGGAAGTGAGAGGAAATTGAATGATCAGGCCTAAGATGTTTGTGATTCTAATGAATTTACTTTACTTGATTGTTGTTCATCACAGTCATGGGTCGTCATGTGAAGGAAAAATGTATGTTTTGCAGGCAAAAGTCAGAATCCATTTCAACGCAGTACACAAACTTAAATCAAATTAACAGTAAGATTAAATCAAATGTTATCAAATCAAAAAACATACCGACTTAAAGGTTTAACAAACTTGTTTGAAAAAGTGAAAAAGAAATAAAGTAGTAAATGTGTACAGAAATGAATGAACCTTTTACACAAACTCACACAGTTGCTTATAAATACAAACATACTAAAGGCCAGAAGTCCTTAGATTTAAGATTCATTCCTTTAATTTGAACATGTTCATGCTTAAGAAGTGGATTAATAAAGTGAATTAAGTATTTGAAGCTGATTTTTTTTTGCCATGCTTGTCTGCTTTTAAAAATGCTAAAACCCCAAACAGTAAATCAACATAACCCTCTAACTTTACTAAGTAGCAACAAACATACTAATAAACACTGGATTAGTAACTTTCAAAAATATACCATCTCTAAATGTTTTAAGCTCTAAGTGTTTTTATTCAGTTGTTCTTGAGATTCTATATAATATATCTATATAGTATATATATATATATATATATATATATATATATATATATATATATATTGCAGTTCACATGAAGGATATATATTTAAAATAGTAATAATTCCAATAACACTGAATTGAATCGGTCATCTGACCATTAATAAAGCTGCAGTGTGTAAATATCAACGTAATGTTAAATTCTCTGAACAAAATATTTTTTCTTCTTCTTTCACGTATTTTGTTTCCATTATTTCAACTGGCTACTGGAAATTTCTTAGACACAACACTGACTTCTTTTAAATGTGTAAATAAACAGAATCCATTATTCCTACTGAAACACAGGGTGGTGCCAGAGAGCCGTGGAGAAACAAGCTATGTATGTATAATGGCATAAAATGTCTGTGCGGGTGAAAAATATTTTTTGTAATACTGGGGGTCTTTATAATTTAAAAAAATATCTGTCCGCTGATCAGTTTAGGAGAGTAACAGCCAACATAGTTATATGATTATCTAAGGGTATATTGTGAATTCATGTAAGAAATGTATGACACAAAACAACACAATAACACATTTTGAATTGTGTAGCCTATCACTTAGTTATTATAAAACTCATTGCATTTATTCACTGTCTTTTCATATGGAGTTCCCCTTCTCAGGTTCAACATAAGGATGTGCACAATAGTCCATAATGCATCTTTGGAGCAGGACAAATTAAAACCTTTCTGTTAATGGTCTTTCAAAGAGAATCACAAATGGAGATGATTATTCATTTGTACTTTATTATCTACTTGTTACCATGT